AAATTCACCGATAAAATACTGAAAATGTAAGTTGTAATTTGTAAGCAAAATCACACACATAAACATCTCGCGATAATACTATCTAAATGTTGCCAAAACAATAAAAGAAAAAATCTTAGTTGTTATGAGAATAATCATTAAAAAAATAATTTAGTCGAAAAATAATCCTAATTAAATATCAAAGAATAGAAAAATTGGATAAATATTCCAACCGATAAACATAGCTATAGTAAAAATATGTAAAAATCTTGAAAAACTGCGTGTAAAGTATAAATTTTCCACTTAGTGAGAAACTTGACATTATATGACGTCATAACACTGGAAAATCACTTAAAAGTTAAATTTTAAAATATTTAGAAAGAATTACTAAATAATAAGTACGTAAGAACCCGTCCGGATTCAAATGCAACGTTATGTCAAAATTTCAGAGGAAATGATCCAGCTTGCATGATTTCCTTTTTTTGGTTCATTATCACACGACTCAGATCAGACACATGTAGCACTACTTTTGGCTGGATGAGGCCAAAGTGAGGTTGGGATGGAACGAAACCTGATTAAGAACCTTCCCCATGTAATTTTGTGTACGTGTACCAAATTTCACGTTATTTGGTTGTCTGAATCTTGAGTTATAAGGGAACAGACAAACAGACAACAAATGCGTCTTATATGTAGATAGAGATATGAAATTATTCTGGTTATTAATACTATATGGACCCCAATGACCTAGGGAAAATAATAAAAAAATTCCTGCTCTCCCCCCTCCGGATGTAGACGATACCCGCCGGGTCACGCAGGTTCGACGTTATCTTTGAGACAGGTCACCCATGAAATTTTACGAGTTATACATTTTTAGCTCTCTCTCTCTATATATATATATAAGTTGATAGAAGAAACAATCTTAATTCAACTAAAATAGTTACAAATAAGGAAATTATTGCTGTATAATTAACTCTTTTATTAATTAATTATTATTTACTGCAAAAATCTTTTGTTTTGTTTTTGACAAGTATAAATAACCATTGCATTTTTGACAACATGTTTTCGAACTGCTTTCGTAGTTTTCAAATCTGCACTTGTGCGAAGCCTAGAAATGTCATCAGCACATCAAAAATGGCTATACATGCCAAGCCTTTTGCCCTATAATGGCCAGGATAAAAGCCATGACATGTATAGCAGGTGAATTATAACGCATCGATTTTTTTGCGAGTGGAACTGCACACAACACTGTTATCTGCATCAATTAATATACTTTTGTTAGTGCGTGGAGAGGCTGATAACGTTTCAACTATCTCTTAAATTTTAAGCCATCCATTTTGATTTTTAGAGGAATTTTATTTGATATTGCATCTTGTTTGCACAGAAACGAAGAGTTTGCAACAGCTAAATCAATGTAATGAATGTGTTCAAGAGACTTTTATGGTAAAAAAAATCCAAAATTGCCTTTCCATTTCCAATATTCCCATGTGTTTCTTCATCGCTCCCACCTGAACTTGATTCTCCTTTTAGTATACGCGATTCATATGTTTTGTTTACCGCATTGTCATCATCCGAGGGATCACTAAGTTCTGATCTAAGTTCAATCTGATTTATTCATCAATTAAAAAATTTCTTCTGTGAGAATTCTCCTTTTAAATACCTGAAAAAGTTTTTGGTTAAAAGTTAACACAGTATTCGATGAAAAATAGTAAAATGTATCAGAAAATTTGAAAATTTAAATATATATATATATTTAAACCACGCCATACTAACTCCCACCGGAAAACCCAGATTTTTTTGGGAGGGAGGGGAGAAGAGATATGGATGCAGATATCTGTGGAGGAGATAAAAATGCCCTACTCCTCAAAAAATGTATGGAAAAGAAAATTAATTGCAAAAAAGAGAGAGAGAAAGAAAAAAAAGGAACTCTTCCATGGCGACCCCCAAGAAAATTTGGCATTAATTATATAACTACATATTTCAGTTTTATGTAGGCTTTCATATAAAAATTATTGAAACAGAAAAGAAAATTCGCGCGCGCGCATGGTAAGTACTTAACTTTACAGCTGCAGTGACTCAAGTAACGCCCCCCCCCGCGCCCCCCCCCCCCCCCAACGAAATCCCGAGCCCTAGAAGCCACATTAGTAGAGTATAGTTAATATTTTTTCTCATTTTACAATTATTTAAACATTAATACAAAAATTTGTACCTATGCAATTAGAAATATTTTGATAATTACCTTTTTACGACAAATATAAAGAAGACGTGTTTTCGTTGTATTTGAAAACAAAGCTAGATTTGCCAGCTGAAAGTAAAACATGGAACACAAACATCGTCTGTTAATAAGAATTAACACTTTACACTTTCTGCAAACCGGCTGAATCGTTACATTCGCGATTTTTTTACATACAACTATTCCAGAAGCAAACACGTATAAGAATATCTAACCCACACCATCGTGCAGGTTGGGTCTTAAAGGGTTATAGCGGGTCACAATTAATCGTAACTTTCACATTTTTGAATGAATGGTATATAATGTAGGATTTTCCTTAAAATATAATAAATCATATAAGCACTGATATCTAGAGTTCAGGCAGCCTTCGTGCACTGCACTTTCCACGCCTTCTGCTTGTCTCTTCCTACAAATATACAGCTTGCTTCATCTACTGACATCGAATTTGTTTTTGTTGTTTTTACTTCTGCCAGATTTTACGTTAAATGAGCCGATTTTCTTATCTTCTTCAATTTATGTACCATCCTTTTTGGAACTTTGAGAAACATTGATTCGAGCATTTTCCTGCGTACATTATTGTCCAAACATTAAAATCAACTGACAAAAATCTTGTAAAACGCTTCAGAAAAAAAGCCTGATAATCCGTTGACAGAGTCATAACGAGCTTCTCTAACGATGAATAATGGAAATTGCATACCGTATGTATATTGCACATGTTGCTTCTTTTAATTTGCATATTATGATGTGTACAGCGTCATCTTCTAACAAAATTTTCAACTCTTCCCCCTTTTTCGAGAGGGCTGCGGTAGCCCAGTGGTCAAGGTATCGAATCATGGCAGGCATGTCATGAGTTCGAACCCAGTACCACTAAAGACCCGCCGTGTAGGGCAGCGATGCACGTTAAATCAGTCAAGAGCTGAAACGTCCTCCCGTTGGTGTGATGTGGTTGTTAGGAGAGGGAGGTGCCAGCTCAGATGTTTTCCCACGTCACTTGACCATGGCTCAAAATTACGTGGTCTGTCGCCAAAAGCCCTCGTGTAGCTGAACAGTGTGACGTTAATATTCACTCACTCCCCCTTTTTCGAATCAAATTCCAAAAGTTTCATGTATATTAGGGTCAAACTACAGGTCCTCCTTAAATGTGATTTTGTTTTAACTCTTTGAAAGAAGAGGCGCATTATTATTAAAATTTATACTATACCGTTTTTGCGTTAAAAAGTGCAGCAACGAAAAGAAAAAAAAGTGATTCATTTTATGCGTTTAGTATTTATTTTACATGCATTCACAAAATTCAATTAAAATGTATTTAGCTTTTGATTAAAATATATCTTTTCTTGCAATGTTTAGATTTGAATAAGCTGAAAGAAAGTATGATTAAAAGAAAAGTTTCCAATTAAAATATTTATAAAATTTATTTTTTGAATTCCTTTTCACACCTTGAAATTTTACAATACAAGTTTAATTGAAAATAAAGCATTAAGATACACATTATGCATAAGTACAGTAAAGAGTTTCTTATATGTTTGATTTCAACACTCTAAATTTTCAAGTTACAACTGCAGAAGAAAAATAAAATAATGAATATATTGAAATGTCACATACTTTAAAAAATTACTAAGTGATCAGTAAAAATCCTACAAGTGACTCCTTCCTAGTTTATTTAGTTACGTGTTTGTTATTGTTAAAGTGAGTGTGTGAGTAAATATTAAGGTCGCACTATTCAGCTATACTCGAGGACTTTTGGTGTTGGACCTCATAATTTTCATTCATGGTCAAGTGACGAGGACGACACCTGATCTGTGGCACACCTTTCCCTAACTACCATACCACACCAACGGGAGGACGCTTGATCTCTCAAAAGATTTGATGCGCATCGCTCAACTACGCGGCGGGTCTGCAGCAGTACCGGGCTCGAACTCTTGACATGCCAGCCACGATCCGTTACCTTGACCACTAAGGTAACGTGGCAACATGTTATTGTTAAAAGATACATATATCATTATGAAAATTTTTAATTATATTACTAAATTCTTCTCTCGACTCGGGCACAGCATTTTTTTTAAAGAATTTAAATAAAAATTTTAAAAAAATGAATGAAAAGACATGTTTAAGAGTTTTGTTATTATTTTAAAAACAATCTAAATTGTTTCCACATAGTACTTGTTTAATTATCAATACAGCTGACTTTAAAAAAAAAATTCGTAGTAATCCAGACAGTAATTAATGGTCGATCATGTATGGTTTAAAATGCGATATATTGTTTTTTAACCATGAAACTAAGAAGCAACAAGAGAGAATTAGTAGCATGAATGTTTAAACTTAATTAAGTGAAGGAGACGATTCCTGAGCTGGCACATCACTTTCTCATTATGTCCCTACCAAAGGAATTTGAGCCTCGACGAATCTATCAATAGAAATCCCCGCTACACACTAGTAGCATCAGTGTGTTAAGGACAGAGCACAAAAACCAAACGTAGAAATCTGCTTGCACGAGGTCGGTTACACCTCTGCTTTCCACCAGTAACAGTTTTGGTTTGGTTTGCATTCGAAAAAACACACGATTGTGTGTGGAAAAAGGAATGATCTAAAGAGGTCAACAAAGAAAAACTTTATTTTAGTTATTTTTTATTAAATAATTACAATTAATATAAATATATGTATATACATATGACGGAATCACAATATTAAATGGCAAAAACGAAAACGATTTTCCTTTCTATATATGGTGTTGACCACTATTTTTGTTTGTTACTATTTATTCATTCGTAAATCACACTCTCAGAAATAAGGCCATTCCAGGTGGGATTCTAAGCTACGGCCGTTGGATTAGAAGTCCAACGTGCTATCCATTACACTACAGGGATACAACGAGCATTTTTCCTTTTTTTTTTATGGACTATTATTTTTGTTTTTTACTACTTTTTCATTAATTAACTCTAATTAATGAATTAATATTTAAAAAAACTTTATTAGCATCAAGTGTCATCCACTACAAGTTTAAAAAGAGTATTTGAACTTGAGTGGATGAATAAAAAGTATTTTAATAACGATTGAAAATTTGAACAAGATATATATATGTGAACTATATTAGTAGGAGCTGAAAAATCCATTAATTTTTGTGTCATGGTGTTAATGTTATGTCTATATACATTATAGTAATCGTCATATCGTGTGGCATTTTCATTTCTGTGTGGATTAATTTAATTGCTTTCTATACAGATTTTTCCGAACAAAAAGATAGTCTGAATAGTAATTTTTTCATTAGAAAAATCAGCATGTCTATTTTTTAACAATATGAAATTAAAAATTGCCCCGGGACATATAATATTTAGTACACGGACGCTTTAGGCATTAAGATAATCAATTAATAAACTCATTTTAAAACCGAGATAGAAATTGAAAGGAAAAAAAATCAGGTGTAATGACCAAATGATGTCAAAAACAGATGCCAAATAATTAAATTAAACTTTAAATCGAACAATTAAATGATAAATTCGAAAACCTTACGTTGGTAGATACAGAAAGAGAAAATTAATCATAAAAGATTTTGGATAATGAACCAGAATTCCCGAATAATATCGAGAAAAAATCTTTACAGGGAGATTCAAAGTAAACAAACATTTATAATGTGTCTAAGCCAAAGAGTAATTCTCCGTTGACCATTCCTATTCATCTATTAAGATGGATGTAAATTAATCAGTGGGCGCTTAATATCAAATTCCCCAAAATAACAATTCCAAGATTTAATGAAAGGATATTACCAGCATATGTTCTGGAAATCATACAAAACACCGGTATTTAATACTAAATTGTTTTTTGACGTTGAGAAGTTTAATTAACTAAACATTCATTTTGCAGTTCGCGTAGTAAAAGCTTAGAAGGTTTTTAAAGTAAAGGTTGTAAGTTATTACATAGCTATTACTTGGTTTTAACAAAGATTCATTAGAAAATTATATATGCACTCACGCGAGCGAATTTTTAAACTTATTTATTATGTGATGAATTTTTGAAGATTATTTGAGTGTTTTTGTAAAATTTAAATTTACAGTCACTGCGTATGTCTTCCGGAAACTTAAGCGCATTTATTAACCCCTGTTATTTTAAAAGCATTACCAAGTGTTCCAGTATTTAAACTAAATAAGAAATTAGGATACGAGTATTCTATTAAATATAATTCAATTTTTAAGCAAGGGGCTTGCAACTGAAGGAAATACGCGATGTTGCACCTTCATATCTTACAAATGCTATCTCTTCCAAACGCAAGGTCAAAGCTTGGACGAAGAAAAGGAAAACCGCACTTTGACAGCTTCTGAGTTATTAGCAAACAGTGTCCCGCTCTGAAATACTGCTTCTTCAGTGAGAAATCATCCTATTTAAGTAAAGACTGTCGAGGAAAGTTTTGCCAATTGAAAACAAGAAATCACTGCTATATAAAAATGGAAGTTGTTTTTATGTTAGAAAGCTAGTCATGTTTCTTTATATTATTTATCGAAAGAAAAATGTAACATATTTGAAGAAAAACATTTAAAAATGATGTTACACGGATAATCAGCGTTTTAATACGAATAAGGTAATGAAAAATACTGAGAAAAGATTTAGAATTGTTCTAAGGAAGCTTTCTGAAAACTTTGAGAGAAAAGAAACCAATTTGAGTAACCTTGTACAGGAAACAAAAAACACGGGTATCCAAAGAAGATATGTGTCTAAAATTGTTTCTAGAAAATAAAGGGGGATTGGGAGAGTAAAACAATGAATCTTTGTTGGTTTGCAGGAATTGTAGATGAATAAAAGTATCTGAAATACTACAGTGTTAAGTTAGTTTATATGTATGAAACGTTAAGCTGTGATAATTAGATTCCCTTTAGAGAAAAATAAAAACTTCACTCACTAGATTAAATGTTTCCCAATGATTATACTGATTAAAATATCTTCGTATTTGATAAAGTGTTGTTGCTATAAATGAGACAGATCCTGTTTATACATACAAAATTCTGATGAAATATATTCCCTCTGATAACGCAAGAAAGTTATTTATATGGAATATGTATAAAAAATATATTTTGGGAGATTAGTAACTCTTCCCGCATTCTTAAGGTGGACATTAATAAACTTGAGACATATTGTAAATGAATACATCTAAAACATGTTATTCTAGAGTTGAGGCTTCGCGTAAATAATACAAAGATTGCAGATCTCAGGAATTTACATATTTTTTTACTAAGCACAGCATAGAAAAATGCACAAAAGACAGACAAAATAATTTGTTAATAAGTACTTCAGTGAAGTTGTAGGTATAGACAATATCTCTCTCTCTCTCTCTCTGGAATATATTAAGTACATTATATCAAATTGAATACGAAACATTATTATATTTTAACAATTTCTTATCTTTTTTAAACACAATAAATAATTAGAGCTTCTAGTTGGATGTATGGGTTTTATGGAAACTCTCAAGCACTTAAAACATTTAGGAGAATTATCTGCCAGCCGAGAATTATCTACTGAACATCAGCAAATTGAATTTATAATTATTTATAAAGGAGCATCTTACTACAACGTCAAAAAGAGGGATTTAAAGTATTTTACAATTTTTACAGACACTGATGTAATTTTGAGAATGAAAAAATTTATATACAATAAAATATGACTACGAAAACTTAAAGTTCCCAATAGTTCTACCTTTACCATGTAGTTAAATGGCTATAATTTTTTTTAAATATCTAGAGCTTAGACATCATGGACGTGATTCATAGTGATAGTTTTGAAACAAAACTGTTGGGTATTGAACACTAAACGAAAACTAAAAGAACAGTAAACAAAATCTGTGATCTTTCTCAAAGATTTTAGAGCCCTTTTACCTGAAATTACAAAAAAATATATTTCATCAAGAGCGTGCAAAATTACCAGAATTTTGCAAATAATTGAAGTTAAGAAAATAAGTTGTTATAAAACCAGATTTTATTTTGTGCTCTTTATAGAGAACAGCAGTACATTTAGAACTTCTAATTTCTCAATGAACAGATAACTTCGTATTGTCCCTTAAGATATGCATATCTTGAAGAGGTAAACCTTCAATCATAGGTTTGGACAGTTCAGTGAACTTTACTTTAATTGCCAATATATGAAATATATCAACCCAGAAAGAGGTTAAAGCATACATTTGTCCTGTTATTTGAAAGTTTATTCCCCTAACATCTCCGTGGTAAGGTAGATTTTAAAAGAGATAGATTGGTCTTCTGAAAATAATTCTTAAATTATCTATGTGATTCAGAAAGTCGACTAAAAATACTACACATCCAACCTACATTACTGAATATCCAGATAATTTAAATCCATTTAAACTAGAAATACTTTTGATCAAAAATCACTCTAATACTTAGATTAATTTAAATAAAATTAAAACTGTTAACGAACACATTATATAAAAATGCTTAGTTATTAGAAGAAGGCTAACATCAGATCTTTAAGTGAAGTATTATAAATGAATAATTGAGGCATATGCACTAAGGAACAGCAACTACAAAAAAGTTTATGTTTTTGAATTTGAAAACTTTTTTTAAAATTTGAACTGATATCCGTAAACATCAAACAAGTTTATAAGAAGAATATTATCGATATTTACCAACAGATATGGAGTCGCTAGAATCACTAAAATTAAATCTAAAACTGGATTTGCGACTGGAATCATGAAAAGATTTTAGAATTAAATGTAGCTAGTAGAAATAAATGCGCTATCAATATATATATATATATATATATATATATATATGTGTGTGTGTGTGTGTGTGTGTATATATATATAGTGTAAATTCTCTACTTATGAAAGATGAACATTAATCAAACAAAGCCGAAAAAAATTGAGATTGTAAGAAACCAGACATAGAAGGTTACGCGAGAAAAATTAAAAATATAGTAGGGTTAAGAGAGAATATATAAATATATATATATATATATATCATTATAAATTAACTTTTACTCTACTAAAGGTACCTATAAGTAACACCCAATTTATAATTAAATAGAGTAACCATTTTTGCGAATATTCTGACGGTTCTTAGTACGATCACTCTTTCAATTCCATTCTTCCAAATAGATAACGGCACGGTTCTATGATAAGTATTTTAGCAGGAAAGGAGAATAGTTTTAAAACTGTAGTTGCGTTTTCAGTTGCCATTTTGATAGGAATGACGACATTGTCATTTTTGTTCCTCAAAAGTAGTTACAATTTAAAAGGTGTCTTATTTTTTTTATTTGTTAGTTAAGACCTTAGGAAAGTTAAGAAGGAAAGTTAGTTTATACCTTTTTATATGTTTGTTAAGATATTAGTTAAGACCTTAAGAAACACGATTTGAAAAAACAAATTTATTTTAAATGAACAGTGTATATAGCTGACTTTATATTTGAATAGATTTGTGGCACTTATAAGTAACGTCAGTGTAATGAATGTTAGAGAAAGCTCTTTGTGTTTACTTTTCACTTTTATAGTTAACAGTTGAACCTGTTTTTTTTTGTGCGGTTGATAGGAACCGCATAAAAATAACTGCACAAAAAATATTCGAAAATTTCATGAATTCTTACATATAACAAGCACAAATTCATCGAAATACTGCAGAATTTTTTTATGCGGTCACACAAAATTAAAATCGCATAAAAAATGACCGCACAAAAACAGGTTCTACTGTATTTTTAAAGTGATCAATTTTTTTACAATAAGAATGAGGACGAAGAATTGAAGAAAAAATTTCAGCGTAAAAATATGAAACATTTTATTAAAAACAAAAATACACTAATTACGCTTACATCCTCTTTAATTATATACTTAAATGAGAATTTTTCCAATTAATTACTACTATTTTTTGTAAGT